TCCCCGAATTCCCTTGCCCGCCATGATGGCTGGGGAATTCTGGGAGTTGAAGTCCACACGTCTCCAAGTTGCCGAGGTTGAGAAACACTGCTGTACAATCTGAGAATGGCCATTCTTTCATACAAATCATCCAAAGCCATGAGTATGAAAAAAAAAAGGCTTGCCATGCCACTGAGTTTTATTCAATCCTTAGTTTATTAATAGACTCCCAGTGTTCCCATAAGAGAGCCAGTTTGATGCAGTGGTTACGACATCATGCTCAAAACCAGGAGATTGTGGGTTCTAGTCCTGCCTTAGGCACAAAACCAGCTGGTGACCTTGGGCCAGTCACTCTCTCAACCATAGGAAGAAGGCAAAGACAAACCACTTCCGAAAAACGTGCCAAGAAAACTGCAGGGACTAATCCAAGCAGTCACCAAAAGCCAACACTGACTCAAAGACAATAAATGAAAAAAGTGTTCCCATAGCATCACCAGAATTTTTTTAAAAACAGGGAGAATTAAGAAAATAGATAAATTACCTATTTCTATTTAGCTTTGGATGGAAGTTTGGAATTAAAGAGAAAAGTTTGCCAAGTGCAGCTAAGTATTCAAAACACTTCTTAATTGATCTTTTATAAGATAAGGAGCAACATGAACAAATGCTTTCAGAAGATGTTTCTTCCTTCATATCTAAGCGTATTAGGAACCGTGAGTTGGATGAATGCCATAGTAACAACAGATCCAAACTCTAAAATGAGAATAGTGCGGGGTGCTAAGCTAAAGTGTGGTCAGTCACTTAGTGACCTGTGTGTAATTGGGTGAATTCAGGAAATCATGGTTTAAATAACTATGGGTGAGCATGTTGTATAAACACACCCATCCCCATTATTATTTAACTGTCAAATTTATATGCAAAAACTATTATTTTACATTCTGATTCAGATTTTTAAGTATGAACATTGAGTGGACAATCATAAAATTACTATCCACATGGAACTATAATTTTCTACTTTAGCCATCTTGGCAACAGCATTTTGAACCTACAGAGTGATGCCCTTAAGTGAACTTTAACATTACACCAAAAATGCCTTGCACTGAAAGAAACATTTTGACTTGCATTTAAATTATTTGGAGGCAGGGAAGGGAGTTAAGGGCCACAGCACAGTTATTATGGAATTAAACCATCTGCTAGCCTCTCTTTTCCTTAGACAACAGTTGTGCATTCAGTATAAGCTTTTAAAATCTCTGCCACTTCCTTATAAATAAGAACTTTTTGATTCATACTTCAGTTGCAGTTGGCCCTGTGAAACACTAGGAAAGTGGTCTCAAGTGTTCAGCTATGTGCATTTCTAGCTGCAAAGTGAACTGAGTTCAGCATTTTAGATTACATGATTGGAGCATGTAATTATGGCTATACCTATTGTGGTAATTGACACCTCGGTCATAAGGATGTATTGGAAGTAAATCCATGTAATTCCCAATGGACCTTATTTAGATGGATTGGACAAGATCAGTTACAGAATACCTTTCCTAGAACCAACCAGTTCATCAGAGAAGCAAGAACTTGGGCTTATCTTAATAAAGGCAGAAGCAGATACAGTATTTTACTGACACGACAGATTTAGTTATAATGGATCAACATGGCAGTTAAACTTGGAACACAATAGAGCTATACCAGGAATATATACAAACTTCATGTTAGTCTATTAAAACATGTCAAAGGAACGCATTACAGACTGTAATATATCCTACTTCATTGGAAGTATGAAGATTTACTTTCAGTCAGCAGAGTATATATACTCACACATATATAAATACAAAGGAAGACATACTTTGTAAATTGTGTATAGCTAACATTCTACATACTGACCAATAAGTAAATCACAGAACTGAGACTTACTTATAAGTGCTCCTATATTCATAGCATAAGTCCTTTTTGTAAATAGAAGTATATATCCTTCTTTTTGAAAACTTTTGGCACTTTTTTGTTTTAAATGTATACCTCTATACACTTCAAAAATCAGATAGAGCCTTTGACAGTCTATGCCACAATGGCTTTGTTAAGCCTTTACAGTGCCAAGCATCTCTTCTGTTTACAAAACATATATTCCTAGAGGAAACCAGTCATTTTGATTTCTAATATTATTCGCTCATTAAATTCTAAAGGAATGGTGATCCCAGGTTAGACATAAAGGGAAGAGAAGACCATTTCCTTTTTTTTTTTTTTTTCCCCCCTGATGTCCTACTCAGCCACAGGAAGGGCGAAGGACCAGCTTCCTAGCACAACCCATTACCCACTACCAGTAGCTTACTGGACCTTTCTCTCCTGAAATCCACAGGACCTTTTGTTAGGGGTGTGTGCATGGATAAATGCACACACATACAGAGTAATACAGAGCTCATGGAAAGCCAGCTGTGGAGACCAGAAAGGTTGAACTAGTCCCAGAGTGTTCCTGTTAATCATGCAAGCTAGCAGAAAGCAGCCCGGACTTGAAGTATCCCTTCGCAATCGCTGTGGCCAGCTCATCTAGATGACCCTGCAAATGGCTTGTCTTCCCCAGCTGCAGTTCCCTGGATGCGCCTTAAGAGGTTGTGGAGTGTTGAGGTGGAAATGCAAATAAACTAGCACAGGGTCCTAGTGAGAGATTCCAGGGAGCATCATGTGGAAAAATGCCAAGCATACTTGTTGCATGTGCTCCACTGCCCCAGCTTTTTCCTTTCCCTTAACATTTACCCACAATGGCTAAGCGATTAAAACAAAAACGCACAGATATAAACACAACAAAGGCTCTTTATAAGGCACTCTCTTCCTTGCCAGGAAGCTGATGAGCAGCCCTAAATCTTCTACGGTTCACCATCCCAGGATATAGTTCAGGGCCATTATGCTGGCTCGATCCGGGAAAACACGGGATCAAGCGAAGAATAACCCCAAATCTCCGCTTTCTTCAGTTTTATCGGCGGTGTCAAATGCCCACTGGGGAAAGTCTTTTCAGGCAACCTGCCGGCGCTTTACCCGCCGCTTCCTGCTCTTCCTCCTCCCCACCTCCGACTGGTACTCACAGTCTCTCCGCATTCCTGGGAATGCCTCGGGGCACCGTTTTAAGTCCCAATCCGTGACAATCCACATTGGATCCAGAGCAGGTACATTTACTGGGACACGCTTCCATACTAGGCAGCCAAAGCGCGACGCTCCAGAGACCCCAAAGCATCCAGAGGCGCCCCGAACTCTCGCTCCCTGCGCCCAGCATGATCGTCGCCTCTTCGGACAGAAATGGGCAGAACCGAATTAAGAAACTCGAATCCGATCCGGAACCGGCGCGGGAGCCCCACGGCAAGCTCAGCACAGCCGGGGAAAAGGGGATGCTGCGGAAGACATCTCTTTCAAACTCGCGGACGGGTCTCCGCTTTGCGCCTACAGACTAGGCGAAGCGCGCTCAGGAGAAGCGGCACGAGCCGTCCCCGTCCCCGTCCCCGTCCCCCTCTTCGAGACCGAAGGCACAACCTGCCCTGCTCTGTTCTGTTCTGTTCTGTCTTCCTTTGCTAGTCCAGGTAATCGGCCGGTGGAAAAGGCGGGGGAGCTCAACAGCCCAGGCGCTCACTCGACCAGCCAAACCCGCCGTGCGCAGCCCAGCATGGCCCCTGGAACCAATGGCGGCCGCAGCAGGATCCGAATCCCAAGAACGGAGCCTGCCGAGCTGGAGAAGACCCAGGGGCGCTCGCAACCGGCCGCCTCTTCATGGACTGGGCACGGCAAAACAGGCGGACCTCGGCGCCGCGGGAGCCGCCCCCTCCCCTCCCCAAAATAATACCTTCGGCGCTGATTGGAGGCCGCGCTGCTGACGTCATCCAACTTCGGAACTTTGGCAGGGAAGGTAGGGCAAAAGTTTTGAGAGCGGTGGTGGCTGCCGAGGCGAGAGGCGACGCGCGATCGTAGGCTTCTACGCGAAGTGGCTGAGTTTCACTGAGCCTGATCGGGCTTAAACAAGAGAGAGGCTAGTGGAATCTGAAAAAGTAACAAATGGGTTATAACAGATCCCTAGTGGTTAAAAACTGTCTTGAGTATGCGCAAAGTACCTTTTTCCTTATGACAGCAAGACGTAACTGCGATCACCAATCACCTATCTATTGATTTCCTGCCGATTTGGGCCCCTTGATTTCTCATTTTGGAAATGAATGCTGGTGAACGCTGCCTTCTTTCATAGTGCTACGGTACCAGATCTGGGCTGCCAAAGTCCCGACCACCACTAGAGCGCAGCAAGGAGACACAGGAAACATTGATTGTCACTGCCTGGTCATCCAGGTGTTTGCAAACCAGGTCTGGTAGCCCTATTCTTCTGTAAAAGCTACCATTCCTTCATAAGGCTATAATTATTGCTTTCTCTGAGACAGGATTCAGACACCAGGTACTTTTCACTTCCCAAACTGTGACTCAAGCCTTGCCATCTTTAGGTAGCATTTACTGGATCCTTATCAGACCTGTGCACATTGCCATCCATGTTCTAAGTGGCAAGATCATTACCATAGCCAGAAACACTGAAGCTTATTCTGTTAGAAACTACAGTTACTTGCCAATGAATATGCCTCTGCATTTATCCATTTTAGTTTGCAGGATTAATGTAGGACATTCATTCATTCATTCATTCATTTAGGCTTGTACATGACCTAATGTAAGACATTTATTTATTTATTTATTTATTTATTTATTTATTTACTTAGTTATCTACTTACTTACTTACTATGGCTTGTATGCCACCTAATTTTAAATGGCTTTGAGTGGCTTACATCAAAGTCCCTGGTTCAAATTTCAACCAAACCCTAATCAGAGGTACACTTTGATTCCAAGTGTTTTATTTCAAAACTGATACTGAAGCTTCACGGCCTGAAAGTTGGACTCTCCCCCTGGAAATGCCTGAGAGTGTACTCTAATCCTAGGCGGCCTCTGCCAGGCCATATGATATGCATGTGCACACACAAAATGGTCTTTCTATACCTTGCTTCTGCTCCTCATTACTTGCACCTGCTGTTTAAAACTGTCATCCATGTTACCTTTTGAGAAACCCTACTAGGTAGTGACTGTTTTCACATGACATGCTTACCTACAGTTTAGAACATGGTTTGCTCAACTAAAGCAATTTTCTGGGTTTGTATAATAAACTAATCATACAGGTGGAGTTTTCACAACACATTAGGCTGAAATGTAATTGGCTTGTTTGTGGTTCACATTGTCATGTCAATACAGCCAGTATATCCCAATGAATTCTACAGAGAACACACTTCCAGACAAGGATGTATAGGATTAAGAGATGCTGAAGAGATCTAATAAGAGTTTAGACATCTGAACTATTTGTTGTTGTTGTTGTTTTTGCTGAACCTAGATTCCCCTAAACAGTTTGTTAATAGACAAGCTGTAGTACCTCCAGCATATTGCTTTATCTGTAATATAAATAATAATATTGATCTATTGCAGCAGTTAATAGGATCTAGCCAACTCTTATTTGGAAAAGCTAAGTAGGGTTGGCCCTGGTTACCTCTTGGATGGAGAACTACCAGGAAATCCCTGGACTGTCAGCTAGACTAGGAAGTTGTACCGATACAGTATTGTAGAAGAAGGAAGGGCAAACCACTTTTGTATTGTTGCCAAGAAAACTGAAACTAAGACTGAACGTGGTCATCTGGAGTTGAGTTCATCTCAAAGGGAACCTTATCTTTATCAGTACTGACCACCTGAACAAACTTAGCATAAGGATAAACTGGGATAATATTCTTGAAGTGATTATGTTCATAGAAAAAAGAACTATACTGGTGGGCATCATATGGCCCTTTCCATGTTAAACTCATCAATTCATCAGATGATGAAGTTATAGTAACAACATGTGGAGGACCATTCATTGTGCTTCCATGAATTAGATTAAAATAATCAACATTCCTTCTGTTCTTAAATTCTTAAAGAATTGTTGATGTATCTTAAATACCGACCAACCCATGTTGTAAGATCAGCAATTGTGGCCCAACTGGTAAGTTCAGCTTCCATTGCTGTGGTTAGGAACTGAGAAGCATGATGGACAGATATAACAATTGGACATGCCTGTTCAGGGTAACAAGTGCTCCAGAATGAAACTGCCTTTTAGACTCCTTTTTTAAAATAAACTTTATTTTAATTCTTGTACTTTTATTACCTTGTTTTAAGATGGAGAGAGAGAGAGATTGTTGTTGTATTTGTTTTATTGTTCATTTAGTACACCCTTGTGGACCCTTCAGGTGGGATCAATATCATAGCCCTCACATGGAGTAGAGCATTTGAGGACTGAGCAGGCAATCACAGTCAAAATCAAACTTTGCACTTATAAGTGAGGAATGAAGAATCCAGGTTTTATTTCCAAAACACCCATTTCTGATGTTATGAAAAGCTTCAATAAATGATTATTCTAATTGCAGGGAACAGAGGAGCAACTTAACCCTGAAATGGCATCCCTCTACATATTTTGATTACTAAATAAGATCTATGCTGCACACCACCACTCAAATTTCATCTGCAATAAAACTACTGCATTTTACAAGGCATGCATGGTTGGTTTTGTCCTCACAACTTCATATGAAAAGCCAAACAACTGAGGGTAAAAGAAACTGAAAGCAGAGACCATAATAGATTTATTGATAAACCTAAAATGTAGATTTTTTTTGTATTGGATAAAAAGGAAATGGATGACTTTAACCGTTGTTTCTCTCCACATTCATTGTTCTTTTTATTATTTGTTTATATAACACCATCATGGGTCCAAGAGTTTGCAATATCTTTGTTCTGTCCAAACTTTCATAATGTTCTTGGAGTGAAGTACACAAAGTCTCAAAATTTAACTCTAAAATTCTGGAAGAAGTGAGTCCCACGTCCAGCACACAGAATTAAATAGAAGTCAATAGCTGGCTTGTGCTGTGGAGTGCAAAAGCTTTAGCCCAAGTTTCCCCTGCCGGGGTGCATATTTTCTCAAACACTACCAGGCTTTTCAGACACACGTTTATAGTTAACAGCGCTGAGGGAAACCACCCAACATGTTAGCATTCTATAGAATTCTCAGGTTTCAGGACTTTCATGGAAATCACATTTTGGATATTTTTCCCCACTCTTGCACTACCCTCTGGTGGTAGAAATGCTTTACTTTTTTAACCAGATGTAACTTTCCCAGTTGGTAGTCAAGTCTCCAAGACAAGCACAGTGGCTCCCAACTCATCTTATATAATTTTCTTTTTTCCTGCCCCATTGCTTGGAGCTATATCAAGACAAGCTACATTTCAGATCATGTAATTCATGCCTTTAGGTTTGTATTGATGGATACATTTATACAGTCTCCCTGGGGATAACTCTATTAATCTGGAACAGCAAAAACAGTGCTGACTTTTCACAGAAAATGCTGCCCACCTACAGTATTAAATACACAACAAGGGTGTGAAATCCTTGTTGACACGGCATATTTCCAGATAGGATGTTGGAGAAATACACTAAGGCTCAAATGGCTTAAAGAAGCATAGTTCTCTGTAGAATAAAAGAGAAATTATAAAGCAAACCATTTCAGGAATAGTGCTTCCAGGTATATCCTGAAAGTTTACTTACTGAAAAAAAAATATGCTGCAGTGATGGAGCATCTAAAGATCTATAGATATCTAAAGAGATATCTTTAGATTCCATTATTTAAAGGACTGCCTAAACATAAGAACCTTTCTTCCTCATAGGAGTTACAGTGGAAGATGCCACTGCTTGCTGAAAGCTTCCTTCCTCCTTCTTAGGGCCAAACGAGAAATGTGCTTCCTTGATACACGGCTGCTTGCTTCAGTTTCAAGCATGGGTTTAAGAAAGGAATCTTAATGGTGACTTCAGCACTAAGGGCGCATACATTCATCCCTTCCCTTCCCTTCCCTTCCCTTCCC